GATGCAAAAAAGGCCAGGGTTTCAGGGTTTGGGCGGGGGTTCGAGCAGTCACCCCTCAAAAAATTCCCACCAGCCAAAAAACCGCACCAAACTTTGTAGCAAACTGATTTTGCAACCCAGGATGATGACATCTGCAATTGTAATTAAACAAAGTGTGGTTCCACGCTCATGTTGCGTCGCCAGATTGTAGAACATGATTCTACAACTGCAGCACGCAAGACATAAAACCTTCGGAACTGCAATGCAGTAGTTCATCTGCCATCACTCCAACTTCATCGCACGCTTTGTCGAACTTCGTTTGTTGGATTGCATGCTTCAGCTCATCAAGTGTGAATGGATCTTCGTTTTTGTTTTATTTTCGTCCAACATAAGTGGTTTTGTGGGAGCACGAAGATCACTAGTAAGTTATCAAAATTCAATACGATTGTGGGTATAAGGCCATGGAGGGGTGCCACGTATGCAGCCATGTGGCTGTGCAAGTGATGTCTTAGCTTGTCAAACCAATGCACGCGGTATGTGCGTACAGTGCTTGTGCTGCGAACATGCAAATGCACGTGCGTATACGCGCAGTGCGCGCGTGTATACGTGCAGCACGCGCGGGGCGTGCGTACAGTGTGCGCGCGCGCGCGCGGGGCGTGCGTACAGTGTGCGCGCGCGCGGTTGGGGGTGTGTACAGCATACGCAGATGCTTCAGAGTGTTCGTTCACGAAGCTCTTGTGTTGCGTGAGAGTTTGAGGCACTGCTCCATGACACGCGGGAATATGTGGCTCCACTGACGACTAACCATACCATGATAAATTGTTTGATACAATGTACATTCTGTATAACTGTATACCTATATGGTCTATGATACATGATGTATGATATATGATATATGATATATGATACATGATATATGATATATGATATATGATATATGATATATGGTGTATGTTATATGATTCATATGGTATAGATCTGTAAGTATAGAAAAGCTGGTTCACTGGGTCATATCTTTAAAAATCATGACTCATAACTCACAACCCGTCGATCAGTGCTTCATGAACCTCAGTGAATGTTTAGTATTTAGATCGAGTATTGGCTATTGCCCTATTGACACCGACTAGGCGCCAAGCTCTTGAAGACTCTCGAATGTTGACCCTTCAGCCCCGTTCAGTCAACTGTAATCGCCATGAGTTAACTGAGTCAACATAGATTTCTCCCCTCGACACAAGGCACCCCCCTCAGAGGCGTGAACTGCTGTACACGATAATACCTTGAATGACCTAGACCTTGAACAATCACTCTCGACCCTGTCGACTCGGAGACATGGACTCTTATCTCTGAGACTAAAGTCTCCGGAGGCCAGAGACCATAGGCCCTGAGGGCCATGAGGCCACGGCCGTGGGCGGCTGGCACTTAACTCGTCTTGAGTCCTGTTTCCTGGTTGCCATGGCGAGCGATGGACGATGATGAACCTGGGAACGTATATACATTCAATAGTCCGGACTACCGTGACTTGACTACACTGTGTATGCGTTTGCGTATGTCGTCTCAGTGTGAATCTGTCAACTGTCAGACATGCCAGACCAAGATGGCACGACCACACAGATGGTAGTCTCGGTCGTCTTAGTTTGGTATTAGTCTTAGTCTTAGTCTAGTGTGGTTTTAGTTTTTGTCATGTATGAGTTGCGGGTCTATCACCTGTTGGGGCTCAGGGTTTGGGTTCTTGACTCTAGAGACGATAGTATAGCTAGAGTTAGAGCCTCGTGCAGTGCTCCTCAGGCGTCCAATGTGTCTAGTATCTAGAATCTAGGACCTAGGATCATGGGTATGTGGATAATCTGGATAATCGATGGTAGATCACAACTCCGGACTGGGTGCTAAACAAAAACAACAACATTAGACAAATTGAAGCTTTTAGATTTTAGATTTTAGATTAAAAACTAACTAAAAAACACAAAAAAACACATAATACCAATTTGGAAAAATGTTCAAAATTTAAAATGTTTACGGAAGGCAGCTGACGGTTTACGGCTTAAGGTTTAGGGTTTGGGGTCTAGGTCTAGGGTTTTGGACGTGCAAGACGCGCGCGCACACCCTACGCGCGCAGTGCGCGCGCACCGCGCGCGCACTGCGCGTGCCCACTGCGCGGAAAAAAAACAACACCAATTTAAAAAAAAACAACACCAATTTTAAAAAAAACAACACCAATTTTAAAAAAACAATACCAATTTTGAAAATGCGTACAGTGGGCCGTCGGTGCGCGCAGTGCGCGTGCGCAGCGCGCGCGCGCAGTGCGCGCGGTGGACGTGCGCAGTGCTTACATGCATGTTACAGGGGCTCGTGTAGTACAGATGCAAGGCTCGCATACGGAGCTGAGATTCAATTTTACACATTGCGTCCGTACAGTTCCTACACCTCTGCTGCGCAGCAGTAATGCATATTCAAACCCACCATCTATTTGCAACACATTTGAAGTTGAAACTGAAACTTTCAAACAGTATGTGGCATGTGGCATTTGGAACAATGGAGGCTGACGAACCTGCACCAAATTGCTTCAACAAATGAAGTCTAGATTAGTATACGTCCTTTCAACAAATCAACTCAACCGATTCATCCTCCCTTGAAGTGTCAACGTCCACAACCACAGCAATTTATCAGAAACACCAACCGAAAACAATGCTCATGTCCAGTCATGGACGTATTGTACTTAAACAAGAAAAACACACTAGCCACCACGCAGGTTTCAACTTTAGCGCCGAGCCAAGAGAACAAGTACTATGACAGACCGCACTAAATCCATTAGAATTTGTTTGGATGATGCAACAACAGAAACTGTGTTGGGTAAGCAGTCCGTGCTTGCGGTGCGTTCAGTACACTTGCCTAGTATACTACTTTTGTGACATACATATACAGAATGCTCAGAACGTCTTATAGTATTAGCAGTAGCAGCAGCAGCAGTAGCAGCATTAGCAGGGCATATAATATGAATGTGTGTGTTCTGAATTGTAATGAACATTGAACATTATGGATTTATCAAGCGCTATAGTGCTATGATGCATTAGTGTACTACCGCTACGGTTACTAGTTGCTAGTAACTAGTGTGTTAGTGTAGTGTTCCTCTTCTTGGCTACGCATGTCCACAACGTGTAATTTGCAAACCACTGATATATGTTGTTGTGTTTTCCGGTTTCCCTTAGGAACCTTAAGAATAAATAGTTGTGTCTCCAATCTCCAGCAATCCAACAATCAGGACATCGATCGCGGACAGTGTGACAAACTGGCAGGTGTTGCTTATTGCATTTGACGTTCGGCACACATATGTTTAGTGACAGTGGCAGGATATTTTTTTTTATGACAATATTCATTATTATATCATTGCGTCTATGTGTTCTTCTGGACGATTGGTTGCAACTTGCAACCTGAAGCTTAAAACTTGGGGGAAAATGATGGTCTTGTGATCTTGTGCATGTAAGAGTCAATAAGGGTCTCCCGCTGTCGTTTCAGTGGCATACCACATGAAAAAAATTAAAACCAGAAGACCATGATTAGTCGAAAAGAGTCGAAAGCAGAAGAGTCCGAAGGGTTACCATGGTTTGTTATCGGCTTTAATATTCAATGACCAATATGATTGGCGCTGACCCTGCAGGCTTCAGCCATGTTTCATGATGATTCAAATGTGGGCAGCGCATACACGCCGCACACTCCGCACGTACACGTCCGCGCGTTGCATGCACAACCCAGCACACTGCACGCGCAAACCGCGCACACCGCAGACAACCCACCGCACGCTGTACGCACGCACCGCCCGCGCCGCACGCACATGCACAGACAACCCACCGCACGCTGTACGCACGCACCGCCCGCGCCGCACGCACATGCACAGACAACCCACCGCACACTGTACGCACACACAAAAAGAGCCTTACCGCACAGGTTCTCATGTGCTCCCAACACAATCGTATTGAATTTTGATAACTAGTAAGCAAACCTTCCAACATATCCGCAAAATCATTTGCAACAAGTTGATCGGGAGACGCCGTGACGAAGTCTTTGATGGTAAGCAGCTTCTTCCACTCCCGATTACGGCGCAGGAAACGTTCGCAACGTCGAGATCTCCAAGCTCGAACTTCTTGCCGATGAAGTGTGCGAATAGCGAAGCTTAAACGTCTACATTCATGAGTGTCATTGGAAGCCCGTCGACAACACCGCATCTATCGGAGTTGAGAGGAATCACGAAACTTTTCGCAGGATGGACGTGAAGAACCGGTGGTACACGCAGCATCCAACAATGCGCGCTCGGCAGCGTCAAAGGATTGGATTCTTTTGTTTTGGATATTGTCGTCTAACTTGCGATGGTACTGTCCGGCCTTGCCTTGGAAGATCTTGGAAGTCCAACTTGGGGCGCCATCAACTGACAGGTGTTGGCATTGTCCTTAGAGGTAGCCATTTCGGCTTTTGTCATGGCATAGACTTCGGATATCTTCGATTCGAAAGTAAAGCAGATCTCGCCAAAAATTGTGTGGTGTTGTAGCCCTGCTGTGGTTGTATGGAGTGCTGTCGGAGTGGCCGAAACGGGACACAAACAAAACAAATCGTTTACCGTTTGTTTGTTGCATTGCGGTCGAACATGCAAGCACATTGCAGTAGGGTGTCCCGCGGCGTGCCCCTGGCATGCTGCTCGCCGCCCCGGGCTACATGCAACCGTGGGGGCTTTGAAATCTTCTGAAGCAGCGCTTTGAGTCGAGTGGGTATGGGCAGAACCAATTCCAAAGGCAGACTGACCATAGGCAAATTTTTGAGAGCTTAATTAGGGATCGTTGCTTGGGTTTCTGGCCGCTTCGTTGCAACTATGCCAAGGAACCACCTAAGTCATAACATGTCGCCTGGGAAACTTAGTTGCAACCACCGAGACGATCTTCAACGTTAGATTCGGGGTTAACGACACAAGGGTGCCCCTGTAGGAGTGGCAGCTGGTTGTGGGCGTTTGGACGCCAAGAGCAAAGTCGTAGGGGGAGATGGCAATCAGCTGTTCTTTCTCCGGTACGGCATGTCAGAATAATACGTCTTCCTCCTCCCATCCAAAGTTGCTCACTGCGGCCATCAGCCAGTGCGGCAAGAGTATCCAATGGAGGAAAGCACTCGTACTACTGTTTCAGCAGCAAGAGGTCAACGTTATAACTTACGGCTCTGCCATCAATGCTTGTGCGAAAGCCGCCGAGTGGCGGTGGTCTTTGTGCTTGCTGGAGGACTTGACGGACAGGCTGGCACACGTCAACGAGGTCACTTGCAATTCGGCAATCGCTGCTTGTGCACAAGCAAATGAATTGCAACGCCTGCAATGTTTGTTCAACGAATATGAGGCAAGAGGGCTGCGACGAAATGTGATTACGTATACCTCCGTCATCGGTGCATACAAAACTGGGGGAGATTGGCAGCTTGCGCTGATGTTGCTGCATGACATGGAACGGCAGTTTGTCCGAGCGAATATCGTCGCATACAATGCAGCCATCGGCACCACTGAGCCAGGAGGTAATTGGCTAGTTTCTTTGCTCGTGCTAAATGAAGTTGACGCGTGCCAAGTTCAAGTATCTGCCATAACCCTTACGGCGGGGATCAGTGCTTGCAGGGGGGATGGAAAGTGGCACCTAGCACTGACATTACTTTCCGACCTTCGATATCGAAACCTGCAAGCTTCAACCATTGCATACAACGCTGCCATCAGCACATGGGCACATGGTGCCAACTGGCGGGAGGCTGTGTGGCTACTGCAGGGCCTGCCCATCCAGCACGTCCGTGCCGATGTCATCACCTTCAACGCCGTTGCCAGTGTCCTGTCATCTGGCCATCAATGGAAACGAGCGGAGCAGCTACTGGTGGAGCCCTCGTTGCAACTGGCCGGAGCAAACCTTATCACACTCAACACTATCCTCAGTGCTTACGAAACTGCAGGGGTCTGGGCACGGGCTCAGCGTCTTCTTCAGGATTTGGATGCAAGGAAGCTGCAAGCAAGTACCGTCCCCTATAACACGGCAATTAACGTTTGTGCTTGGGACAGAGACTGGAAGCAGGCGATGCTCTTGCTGCAGCAGGCTCCTTTCTCGAAAGTCGACAGCTTTATGCATGGATGGGTGTGAGTGTGTGTGTGTGTGTGTAAACGCTTATTGTTTACAGAGTACCTGTTGAATTCACACCAAGGTTGCCGTGGTACGGCTTCAGCCGGATATGATCTCCGCTACCTCCGCCGTCAGCGCCTGTGAACAGGCCGAGGCTTGGACAAAAGCCGTGGAACTTCTCGTTCACCTTCACGAGGATCGCAAAAGATGTTCTGGAAGAGGGGCATAAATAACTACCAACACTATTTTGGGGTGCTCGTTCGCCTTCACCACTTTTGGGGTTCCTTATTATAAATTTAGTATAATGAACTTCAAAACCTCATTCTAATTATTCAGGCCATTGTATTAATTGCCTGGGTCCATGATCAAGGTTACGCGTAAGCCTTCAAGTGGTTGAAGCATCAACGCGTTGGATGATAGCGAAACCGGTGCTTTAGTAGGCTACTTTACAGAGATCAGGGGTCCCTTAAAGAAGAAATATCTGAGGAAGAGCGGGTAGCCTGAAGCATGTCCCTGTCAAGTTCTTTTCGTAGTTTCCTGGGGGTGATCAAGTGGGCAAGCCCAGGCAAGTTTTTTCTTTCTGATGTCCAGGGTTCCCCTCAAATTAACTTCAGGTTTTCGTGCGTTGCTGCCTGCGCCCGCTCCTTCAACGTCTGCGCAGTGTAGTCCAAACATAGGGTCAGGGTGGTTCGTCGGCCACTTAGACGTGCAACATGATGCAATGCTGCGGTCTGCTTGCTCTGCCGGGGTCGTGGTGCATTGCAGTCTGGTCATCAGCAGTTGAGCGCGCAGGATCCTGGAACTGCAGCACTGTAGAGCCCGAATCCTTGGAACTGAAGCAATGTACGGCACAGACTGCAGCACTTGAACGTGAAGAATCTTGGAACAAAAGGAATCCTGGAACTGCAGCACGGTAGAGCTCCGCATCCTGGAATTACTGCGCAGCAGTTTTAGGGAGTCCAGGAATTGCAGCAGATGAAGACTGCATCAGAGCTACAAATCCCAAAACCGCGGCAGTCTCAGCTGCCTCGCCGTTGCAACCCCAGCCATGTTTCTACTCCAAGACGGTGAATTCAAGACTCAAGTCTTACGGGTTCGTGAATTGTGCGCAGAGAAGCCGATGCATTTCGCTAACCCATGCCAACCCTGAAGGTTCACAAGGGTTTGTATTGAGTCATATTGTCTTGTTGGCCAGACCATAAAGGCATGAACATAACAGGCACTTGGGGGGGGCCCTCGCCCAGGAACGTGCGATGTACACAGGGCGTTTGCTTCATTAGGTCTGCGGCGATGCTTGATTCGGTCCCTGAGCGCAGGAGCGTCTCGAAGCCAGTATGGTTGCCTACGCCGCTGCTATGAGTGCCTGTCAGCGTGCAGGCCATACGGTGCAGGTCAAACAGCTTTTCAAGGAGATGCGGCAGCAAGCCGTGCCGGCTAACGTTCTCTCACTCAATTCAGCAGTAGACGGGATAAGCAGGCACGTCTCTCGAGTTTCTTGGGCCGGGGCTAGGCAGAAGCTTTCCGCTTTGGCCTGTTGAGTGCCCACCGAAGGGCCACACCCCAAGAGCTGTCCCGCGCATCGCGAAGCAGCTCTAGCAGTCTATATACCCGGCATCTTTGAGCTTTGTCTCGTCTCGGGCAGCGTCTGACATCCTTTTGTGGAGCCCAGTCCAGGATTTGATGTTGAGGTCGTCAGGTCAGACAGTGGTCAGGGCCAATGTTTTTTTTCGAACTAAGAACCCCTGCGTCTTTCCCCAGGCATACGCACTATAAGGAGACTTCCTTAGCGCGGCCGTGCGGTAGGCCCCCGCATGTTTCCCGGACGCGGCTCCCACTGTGTGGTGCACAGCTTGTCTTCTTCCCATCATTTACGCGCTAAAGCTCGTATTCGGGGACCCACAGGTCTTTACAAGGCATCGACGGGTCCGAATCCCGCCAGCAGATTGGGCACTTCTCTCTGAATCCGGCCAGTACATAAGTGAAAGAAGTGAGTGGAAGATGGTAGAAGCATGTTGGCACCGACTGGATCCAGCCAGTACATTGGGCGTAGCATTTTGGCCGCCGGGTTCTGGTGGTCTCCCTGGTTTCCCGGAAGTCTCCTGCAGGACCTCCTGAGTTTTTGTTGTCTCTTGGTGTTTGTTTTTGTGGTCTCATCGTTCTCTCTTGGTGGTTGTGGTGCTCGTGGTCGTCCTGATCCTAGCAGTCGTCCCGGTCCCCTGGCCAACTCCTGTTGCACGCGGGGTTCTCGTGCTGTACTCGTGGCATGTGGTCCTTGGGGTCCTCCACTTTTTTGGGGATTTATGCCGGTAAAGTTGCATAGCTTTCCTCTCGGTAGAAGAATTCCACAGCCCCTCGCCGGTCCGCTGAGGTTAAAGCTTACAATGCCGCTATCAGCTCTTACGGCCGCGGAGGCCACTGGCGGATGGCTCTGGCGCTGCTGGAGGAAATCTCGGAACGGGCCCTTCAGCCTACGGCTGAAACTTACAATGGAATTTTGAGCATCCTGGCGAAGAGCCGTGAGTGGTCGAAGGCAAAGGAGCTGCTCGGAGAGCTCCCTGCTCGTCGAGTGGAAAGGGGCCTTGTCGCCTACAATACAGCAATCAGCGCTTGCGAGAAGGGCGGCGAGTGGCAAGAGGCATGCCAACTTCTGCAGGAGTTGTGCGATGAACTTCAGCCGGATGTCATATCCTACAATGCAGCCATTGGCGCTTGTGAGCGTCGCGGAGCATGGCAGCCGGCCCAAGTCTTGCTGCAGGAGCTTGGCACGCAAGACATGGAGCCAAGTATGATTAGCATTTCCTCCGCCATCAGCACCTGTCAAAGGACAGGCATGTGGCCACAGGCGCGGCTCCTACTGCAGGAGGCTCAGGAGAAGCGAATGGAGGCTAACGTTGTCGTGCTTACCTCAGTCATTAGTGCTTGCGCGACTGCTGGCGCGGGAATGCAGGCCTTCCGATTGGTTCAGGAGCAGCCACGCATGGTCAACGTCCTAGCTTATCACTTCGTGGTCGCGGCTCTGGAGATGTGCTCATCAGGTTCCGCTCCGATGCTTTCCTGCTTGGAGGAGGTGAATCGTTTAGGGAGAGTGGAGCTCACCAAGCTGAGACCGAAAAAGGCTTTGCCGTCCATGTCAATTTTGTAACTTGCGCGTTTTGTCAGGCACGGCGTTTGCAGGTGGTGCGCGTCTAAGCGGAGCGTGACTTCAGACTTCAGATGTGTCCTGAAGCAGCATTGGCTTGAAGCCTGCTTAAACCTCACTCACGGCACAGAAATCCCCAGATTGGAGCAATCAATCGCTGGCATGGCCGAGGGTTCGTGCGCGTGCTACGCAATAATGCAGACGCCACGACAGAGGTGGACAGGTGAAAGGTGCCTCAGATGCCCCAGTTGCCACTTCTGTTCATGCTTAAACAAACCTGTAGAACTATTCCACTGTTGTCCTCCATGTTACAAAAACTGCTGCATACTCTTTCGGGTCACCTAAAGCCTAAGCCTGACTTAAGCATCCCGTAACATGCAGCCCGTTGCATGTCGCTTGCTGCCTCGGGCAATCTGCAGTCGCGCAGGCCGGAGGGTGTTCAAAGAGCATGGGCACGAACCTAACAACCTGCAGTTGGGCAGTTTCGAATCTGAAACATGCGAGACAGTCGCCGCTTTGCTTTTGCGATGCTGTTGGGCAACTGCGGGTGACCACAGACAATCCGCAAAGTCGTAAATCTAGTTGGCTCATACTTACGTAACCCCAAACCACGGAGTTCTTAAGACTAACCTAGGCGGATGGAAACGCGCCCGAAAAAAGCTTGTAGAATAATGACCTCCCAGTGACGGCCGACTGTTATCGACTGTTGACTTGAAGTGCCCGCTCCTCGAACTTGGTGATATAGGGGCCTAGATAATTACACATACTATTTTGGGGGGTTTCTTCTTATAATTACAGTATAATGGGCCCCAAAATCTTATTCTGCCTATTAAAGCCCCTGTATTAAGCCAAAGCCCGGAGCGAACAAATCACAGCATCGCGGTGTTGGAAGAGATGCGGGACTAGAAATTTAAGTGCAACCTCACGTCTTGAGCAATACGGCCGCCACGAGCACAGCCCGGTAGATTTCGTGTCTTTGCCATCAGCGGATTCATCAACCATTGCCGTGGCTTCCTTCGCAGACTCTGACCGCTCATGCAAATGGCAGCTGCATGCATACACGCGCACGCACGCACACGTATGCAAACAGCGAAGCATCAGAATCACAAAAGCAAGTAACCTATTGACGCGGACAGGCACCTGCGTGTGTACATAATGATTCCCGACATATCTCTCCTTCTGTCCTCTTTGGCTGCGGCCTTATCATCTGCCTCGCAACCTAGCCGCTTGTTCGCCTCCACCCATCTCTCTCTCTCTCCCTCTCTCCCACCGCTTCTCTCGACATGTACTTAGACGTTACCCATGACACTAGATGGGAGCAAGAAAGAAGGCCTCTGCGCGGGATGTTTGTGGTTTCGGACTTCACCCGATATTGCGGGAACTTGAAAGGTCGGTTGGATGTGTGCCAGACTGTAGCTGTAGGGACTCGTGCTTTGCTGTGAGAAGCTGTGTGCCATGAGAGTCGACATCATTGCGGAAATTATGGCGCTCAGATCTTTAATCTAACATGCAAGGCATCGAGGCACTTTGGTTTAAGAATTGCCGGGCATGTCGCAGGTCTGCGCTGCACTGCACCTCGACCCCTGGTCCGCCAGTTTTCTTCAAAGGCACGGATTATGATTATTGCTAAGTTTTCAGGGCTGGCCTCGGTTGCACACGGAGTCATGAGACCCTGCCATGCCACTAGGGCGCTGGGGATCTGCTCGGTGATTTGCGGTGCAAGGACTTAGGGTGCAGAGTTGGCACGTGAATCCAGCCTTTTTCTCGGAGGCGGTTCTTGCGAGCATCTCGAAGAGAATTTCGCTCCTATCCCAGGCCGGGTATCAGGACTGGAGCTTGTGCAAGCTTGAACTCTCGACACTGCTAGAGTCTTTCGACCGATTCGAAATCGAAGCTTACACGCCCGGCTGTGTAGGCAGGCCACGGCTATGAGGAGTTTCCGCAGTGTTTAGAAGTCTTGTTTCAGTCAGTTGTACCGGCTGAGCAGCTCAATCGTGGCACTTGCGGCATCTAGATGATGTCGGGAAAGCACTCCTGAGTTCTCTCTGCAAGTCGAGCATCGCTGGCTTCCTGGATAATAAGCTACTTGATTTTGACCCGACTCTTCTTGACTGGGGCCAACATCCTGCCAACGTTGTCAGGTACCATCACTGCTGCAGATGATGTAAATCACAGGATTGGAGCGAGCGAGCGGCGTCAAGTTGATGTCCATGTCGTGCTGGCTCCAATCTGGGTTGTGTGCCGGCACTGTGAACTCCCTTTGATACTTTCTCCTGGATTGACATCGCCCTCTTGATTCATCTTGTTTGTTCAAAGGATGCTTCGCCGACACAGCGCCAGTCGAATTGCACACAAAAAAACCAACAAGCAGCAACAGCAGCAGCAGCAGCAACTTGAGGTTGCGTCTTTGAGGTATGCGAGGCTTCCCCATGCCAGACAGCAGTAGATCTGGACGCCCAAACACAACTCAGAAAACCCTACACAAGCCTTAAAGCATCCCCTATCATCCCCTGAGACCTGGACGCCCACACACAGCCAAGAAAACCCTATATAAGCCTTACAGCATCCCCTATCATCCCCCAATATAAGCCCTAAAGCCTAAGAAACCTACACAAGCCTGAAAGCATCCCCCGAAGTCACGACGATCTTTTCCAAGAGCCGCCCTCCGGCCTCGCACTGAGAGGCCGGTGGGCGGACGGAGCTTCAGAAGCAGCGGGCTGAGGCCGAGGCCTGGGTCAATAGCTGCAGTGACTCCCTCAAAGATATATATATATATATATATATATTTATATATTATATACATGACTTGTTATACTTCATGATTATATAATATTACATGATATGATATGATATGGTATATGATATGATATGGTATATGATATGACATGACATGATAGGATATGATATGATATGATATGATATGATATGATATGATGATATACATATATACATAGTATTATATTTCATATTATACACTATATATTTTATGTTATATAGTATAGATTTTATTAATATGTGTGTGTATATATATGTATATACCATGAATCAGCAGCCGCAAACATTCAAGGCACAGGAATGGTCAGAAGTGTGAGGCCTGCCGAAATCAGCTGGCCCTTTTCGAACGCACTGTCCTAAGCAATGGCAAAGAGCGACGGAGACGGCACCGCGAACACTTTCCGCCAAACCTCGGGTAACACAACGACTTCCAATCCAGCGGTGGCAGCTGGTGGAAAACTGTAGAGATCCTTGACTCCGGCTCGCCCAAAGCAAAGTCTGCTTTGCAACAACTGCTTGCTTGAATATGAAGAACGTTTACAACATAGAAAACGCAAGCGGTGTTCGTCACAATTGGGTTGGCTTAAAGCAAACCTCTACCTGCAATAGGTCATGGCTACCAATTTTGACCCAATGGTAGTCCTAATACTCGACGAAGACAGACAAGATAAGAATGATATTTAAACCAATATTAATGGTTACCGGAGCCGGTATGATCTCGATCTGTCCTTCACGGAGCTTCGAACGGACCGCCAACCGTGACAAGGATGGCCAGTGTCTCTCAAGCACCCCAAGTCAGATGCAGTATGGCCTCGGGAAGTAGTGCATTCTTACATGTTCGGCGCTGCGAGACTTGAATCGATGCAGGAACGTCGCATTTCCTCTTGCAACCTGGATGTTGAAGTGCCGGAATCTGAAATGCCTCTTGAAAGGGTATGGTACGGTTTAGGTTTCGGGCTATAATAGTGCTTATATCCGACATCCTCACCTCTGCAGGCGCTGCACGAGGAGGCCTTCGGGATTGTCAGGGTTTGGCAAGTCGCACGCGAACTTAAGCGTTTTAGTATTCCAGACCCACGAGGATGACGGAGGTTGTCAGTGACACGACGCTGGTGCAGTTTTATTACCATCTAGCTTTCAATCACGACGTGTGCTCGATTTTGTTGGCCGACTTGCCTGAAACGCGACCGTTGGCTTGCCTGCTGCAGGTCGGGCAAGTAAAGGCAGATGCCCTGGTTGCAGGCCACAGCACCCTATTATTACTACTACTACTACTACTACTATTATTATTATTATCATTATTGTTACTGATATTGTTGTTATGATTATTGTTAAAACACGTGGTATTGTTATTACTATTATTGTTATTATGGTTGCTGTTATTATGATTATTGTTACTACTGTTGTTGTTATTGTGATTATTATCATAATTATTCTTATTATGGTCTCTTCATGCCTGCGGCCTTAGAGCTCGAATCTTTGAGTCTCAGCTTTCGTTTTCCGATCATGGTCTAGACGTGGGTTTAGGGGTTAGGGCCAGGGTTTAGGGTTTAGGGTACTATTGTTGCCATTGTTCCCGGTGTGGTGCTGAGGGCTGATTTTGTGACCTATGTCACCTTCGTCGCAGTGGTGGCATCGACTGTTTCAAATCTTGTTCGAAAATATGTTGTCACTTGCTCGGTTCACCGTTGTGTGCAAAAGGTAGGTGTCTGTTCTTGCTGCTGTGCATCCAAGCAACACATGGAATAACATGATAGTTCCCAGTTCTCTGGTGCCTGCATGTTTCTAACGTACTGACTCCGGCTATGCGGGGCTCAGTGATGAACCGCTCTATGACTACAGGGACAACCCGCGAGCGTAGCCTTCTGCTTCTGCAGGTGTTGGGCTTTGTTGGAGTCGAGGGTTCAGAGCTTCGGGGCTTCGACTTCGTCTACTGGTCTTAACATCGTGAAAGCCACAGCTTGTGTAGTATTGCTAATTCTTGCTTCTCTCCTGTGGTCTCATGTTGTCTTGGCAGGCCTGGAGCTTCCAGATCTTTGCCTACTGTGTCGGGCCGGGGGCTGAGTGGAACGTGTCTCTGGATGACAGGGCTGAGGGTTGTGGCATGTGGAAGAGGTTTGAACGTTGTTGTTCGGGTTGGCGCCTGTTTGGAGCAGCAGGGTCGTAGCCAAGCTGCGTCAAGGAAGGTGGAAGTGCAACTTCATGGCTCATGTCACTCCTACACTGAG